CTCAAGTCCGTTAATAATTTGCACCATGTTGAATGTGACCTCAGGTAGTACGTGAGATTAGGTGCATGTGTACTCCCTACCAAAGGCCAGATAGGTGAGGGGGGGTCTTTTGTCCTCCAAAAAACAAATCTTCTTGAAAAGTAAAGAAATACCTGTGTGCATGAAGTAGCTAGAGATATGCTTGAGAATTTCTAGTGAAACATTGTAACCCTAGTATTACATGAAGTAGAGGGTATGTACACAGGAGTTACCTGAATAATGTGATGGTATAGGAACTTAAAATTCCATTGCAAGTTGGTTTTTAATTTTAAAAAGTTCAGTTTGTGCATGAAGATTTCCAAAATGAAATAGCTACCGGTGTTAATCTGTATACAAGAATACATTATTCTTAGTCTGAAGCATCAGCCATTTTTTATTTTCTGTTAAATAGGATCAGATTAATTTTAGAGTTGAACTGCTGCAGGTTAATTTATCCCAGTCTGATGCTGACAGAGACACAAATTTACTGCCTTCAAGTTAAAACCAGCTTTCGATCAGCCAAACTTCTGTGGTGAAAATTGGACACAGATTTTAAGGTTCTTTCCTTGAAAAGAGGTGACTTTAAAATGCTTGTTAGCTGTCAAGATGATTCATTTACAAAACTGTACATGACAGAGGTGGGGGGAATCAACAGCTACTGGGTAAAAGAGGAATTTTCTCTTTTCCTTTTCTTTGTGATTCAACCGAATTGAGCTTGAATTTAAATCAGTAAGAATACCTTAATTAATACTTTTAAATATCTCTCACCTATGGTCTATTAAATCCAAGCCAGGGCAATATATACTGGATAATGTGTCTGAAAATTGACTAGGGTTAGGACGCGCTTTATTTCATTTCTGAAATCACGTTGAACACATCCTGTGTGAAACAAACACCTAACTCACAATTTAGATTCACTTGCAGATAAAACTATAAAAAGTGTTGACATTCTGTAGGATATTTGTACTGTTATCCATGGGTCATGTGTACAAAACGTGATGAAGTAGGTACATGTTGTTAGATAATGAAATTATTCTTGACACAGAGACTTAATGGTGAAAGCTAGTGAAGGCCGCTTTCACAACCAGTTGATCCATGGACTAACTCTATGGATCAAATATGGTGCACGCTTGACAGTGGATTCCCCACCTCCCCCACGTGTCATTCCAGCAGGGCCAGCTAGGGGACTTAAATCTCAGCACGCTTTCAAGCGGGTTGCACCACATTTGATCCAGGGACTAGTTAGTCCACAAATCAACTGATTGTGAACACAGTCATACTCGATCTATGTTTTCATTCACCATCTGTGGATCTTGATCATGTTTTGACTTTGTACCTGTGATAAAACACCTAGAAAACAGGATACTGTCACGTGATGGTAAACCTTTGAAATTTGGTTGTGGTTATGTTTTTGTAGTGCATGTTAATATTTGAAGATGAAGCATCAAGCTGTGTGTAAAATTGATTGCATTATAAAAGGCAGATAATTACGTGGAGTATACCTAAGATGAAAACAAATCTTTCAATTTTATTCGGACAACAGCTTGAAGTTATTACGTATGTGATGTACCGCTCCTGTATTTCAGTGTCTACCAATAAATTTTTAAGGCACCTGTATCTAATATTCAGCTGTTCACCACTTTGAATGTAAAAGGTAGCTTATAAAATTCTTTCCTGGACTCGATATTTTGGGCGGAATTATTTAGAAGTAGAAATCCCAAAAGCTCTGATGTTGTGAAAAAACAACATGTAACCTGGAAAAGGGTAGTGAACAGTTTCAGATTAATGAAATTTTCCAAATTTCCTGGAATACCTACAAATGTATTGAGAATATTGATCATCCCTCTCTGCAGATCCGAACAAAATATCTTTCAAATACTAGCACATGGTTTAATACCAATATTTTTCTTCACTTCTTCACATTACTGTAGTATGCCTATTGACCAGATACAATCGTTCTTTGAACTTGCACTGTGTTTGAGCCTGCAATATTGATTTCCTTGATTAATTAAAAAAAGTTTTAAAATTAAATTAAGGTTTGAGGTAAATAGCTACATGTCCTGATTGGTTCAATTTTTCCAAGTACAATTAATAAATTAAAAGCAACATGCAGCTAGTGGGGTGTAATCGGTTACAAAATAAAATATTCATTGGTAACAATCACTCCAGTAAAAGTCTAATTGTTAAAAAGCCACACACAACAGGTGGTCTGGCTCCATTACTTTGGTTTAAAAGCAAAGCGACACTTCTCTACATGTGCCTTGTCCATGTTCTTTTACTCAATATTTAATGAGACGAAATAGCTGGCTCCCTCTTAAATCAATGTGACATTATTTGATAGTTTAGTAGTAGAATTATCATGCTGTAAAGGGGAGGTTTGGTGTACAATAAGGTGACTGATTGCACTGTGCACTATGATTTCAAGGACACAATAACTGTTGGATGTTGATAACTAGCTCTTCAAATTCCTTTGCCCTATGACATAATGTTATCAGTTTTGGATAAACAATCTCTTTAGTTTTGCCGTCCTGATGTCTTGACTTTGATATTTTAATATTTAAATATTGTCTATGAGGACTTGGGGATAACAGTAACACCATTAACTTTGATTTCCACAAGAGGCAAAATGACTGCCATTATATATGAAAATTAACAAAATAAAAATTATTATTAGATAGATAGATAGATAAATAGATGAGAACATTTTAATTAAAGAATTTTTCTTCAGATTTTTTTTTTCAGAAACCGAAGGGGGGGGGGGGGGGGGCAGAACATCCCTGACCCCTGACCCCTTCTTCTAAATCCACCACTGCACCTATAGGCCATGGTACCCTGTGTTGATTGGTGGTGGTGTGTACATTTGTTTGTCAACAACGGGACAAAAGTTGTAAATACACTTAATGCCAGATATGGAGTTTGACGTAAACACTGTTCATGTTTAAGACAAGAGTTGTAAACAAACATGACTAGTGTGGGTCTTCTCTGCAACTTAATAACCTATTACTGTTGAGAGATTAATGAAAATTTTGTTTTGAGATTGTCCGCAAATGAAGAAGTCCTAGATAAACGTGTATTAGAAATTATGTGGGCAGTATGCCTTTTAAAGCTGCCTCCCAAATAGCAGTTAAAATTATAAGAAGGGTTGTCATTATTGTAGGAGGTTTTAGATTTGTTTTGTGTTTCCATAAAACGTTAAGATAAGGAAACAGCTCCCTCCCCCCTTGAGAGAGTAGGGAGAGAGCAGACAGGAATCAAAATGTTTATACCAGCATCTGTCAGTCTGTCTATTTTGTACTTGTTTATAAAGTATACGGGCCACTCAAATAATCTGATTGTCCATTTGCTGTCCATCTTTGAACAAAATATTGCCAGATTTCTATTTTGAGTGCTTGTAAATGTACCATTGGATTAGTTTGTATGACTTCAGTAAACTCAAACAAAGTTTTTTTCCCTTTTTAATCCAGCATTTTTATTTATTTAAAAAAAGTTAGGTGTCAGCAGAAAACATCAGGTATTTTTATTTGAATCTTTTCAAACAAAAACATTTTATTTATTTTAACAAAAAGAATTAAACCCAAAAAAACTATTTTAATTTACTATTCAACAAAAGTAAAAACTTCACAATACTGTCAATTACTTGTGGCTTGACTTGTAAACAGTCACTCCTATTGTCAAATGTTAATTGGCCATGTACAGTTCTTTACAATATATTAAATGCAGCACTTGTTATGAAAAGAATTAGCAAGCTGTAACTTTTTTCCCATTTGTGATTTCTTCACAGTGAGTCATTCATGAACTATATCCAGTGTACTGGTGGAGCTGTTAGAATTTTTTATCCAAAGTGAATTTTTAATAAGTCATTTATGAAATTTAATTACCAATAAATATTGGCAATGTATCAAACCCATCTTTTCACTGACGTCAAATCTTGAATTGCTAAGTCAAACATAGTATGCGTCAGAGTCCTTATATTCTGCCAATATTTTATTTAGTATAATATTAAATCATTTGTAGAATTTTTACTGCTTTGTGTTAAAAAAAAATACCATTTGAGCAAGCTGTCAAAAACGTGTCAGTCAATCAACCCCATCCAGTTTACCAACTTTCACAGCTTTTATTCCACTTAACTAAGTAGTTCCATGTGGTAAGTTCATTAATTCATCAGCTAGATCCCTTTGTCAGTTATGTCTCCCATTGTCTTATTTGGTTTACAAAGTCATGGAGGCCTCAGGAAGAGGGGGTTGGTAAGTGAGGTTATCCCTATAGCTATTTATATTTGTAAACTATACTTTTGTGTTTCATTTCTGTCTTTTTTTTTTTTTTATTGTGGTTCTTCTACATAGAACAGTAGTTTCATAGGGAAAGGACCCTTTGAGGTGCCTGTCAATCATTAGTGGGGTATTCAGGTTGCAGGAACATATTTGTTTTATTTTAACGCTCACCTGACTTAAGGCCAGAAGGTAATTTTGTTATTTTAATACCTACCTTTGGAGTATCATAAGTGGCATCAGTTTCACAAATTATTTGAGATATCTTAACAATGTGTTCTATGGTGGTTGAGGAATGATAAAACAAATTATATTTGATCAGGTTTTCTGACCCCCCCCCCCCCCCAAAAAAAAAAAAAAAAAAAAAAAAAAAAAAACAAAAAAAAAAAAAAAAAAAAAAACGCTCACACACGTGTACAAAACCACTGAAGAGAAACGTAATTTCAAGTTTTTTTCCAGCAAAATATGACCATACCTTTCAGGAAAGTTGAGGATATCTTTTTAATGGCCAATACCCCAAGGATAAGATTGGTCTTCATTGATTTTTAGACCAGGTTAATGAAAATGTGGAAGCTCGTGAACATGCCAAATGGAGATAAAAACAACAGTGCCCTGGTGAAGTCACCATTGTGACCCCCATATTGAGCTGTAAAAGATCAGGATGGAGTTCACTAGCTGTTGTTTACAGCGTCAGTATCTCAGTATCATTTTAGTCTTTATTTAGCATGGAAGACATGGAGAGACATACAGCAGTTTTGTTTTTGTTGTGAAAATAGTGTACGAGGATGAAATGATGCATTTATTGACAGGGTTTTACAAGGACTAGTATCACTTGGTGAGGTGGTGGTGTGTGTATATATTTACATACCTGAAGATGCCAACTTCAGAGTAAGTCACTGGTCCAAGGCAACTGACCTGTAGATTTGGCTTCACACTTGTAAAATGAAAAAGGTTTTTCAAAATAACTTTTTTGATCAGGCTATTAGAAACAGTTGTTTTAGATTATTTTTCCATCTGTAGAATATTTTTGCTACTGGTAAAACATATAACTTGTGATCATCTGAGCCTTATGTGTAGATGTCAGTGACCAATCCTGGTGATTATGTGAGTACATTGGGAAAAATATTAAAGTTCGGTGATCACAGAAGTATGTGAGAGCAGTAGACAAAATGTTGTGGTATTTCAATGTAATAAAAATGAAATACCATCGTTCATTAATAATGTGTTAAATATAGTCTTTGTTTTTATTCCAGCTCAGATAACATCATGACTAAAGGACAAATAGCGCTGCGCAGTGTGAACGGAGTACCATCCAATGGAGCATATGTTAACGACATGAATTTAGGAACGAGCTCCAGTCAGGTGGAGATCCTCGGGTATGTAGCGCCCATGGTGGGATATTGCATAATTTATTATATAATTATGATTTACTATAGTCCATGTTGATTCATCACTGCTCTAGGAAAAATAAACAATGTCTGTTGGTAATATTTAGGCACAAGGTGGAAAATGAATGTTTTTGGGTCCTGCTCTTAATTCTTCTCAATATAACAATTCAAAAAAACACTCCAGTACATTGATAAGGTTGAATAAGTGACTCCAGTTTATTTGAAAATGCACCAATTGAAAGACATTTTTGTGTCTAAATATACTGCAAGGTATCAATTATTCTTCCCAGTTCAAACCTTACTAAAAAAAAAAAAAAAAAAAAAAAAAAACTCAAATAGAAGCATGTGAAATCAGTGTTTCCTTCTGAAATGTCAGGAAGACTATGGCAGTCTATGTGAATCATGATACGTTTCGAATTACATTATTAATTAAAATGTTACAAAACATCGAATCCTATTCAGTGCAAGGATATCCTGAGCAATGATTTGTGAGTGCACGCAAAAAAATTATTTTTATTTTCCCAAGGACAATTAGTGGTGAAAATCTAACCTGAGATTCAATAAGTTGCATGTTATTATGTTGGGTTGTGCCACTGTTGATTGTGTTGTCACAACATATTAGAGTCACAACTAACACAATTATTTGTGTCACAACTAACGCAATGTGATCTACAAGGGTTAAGGACTGACAGATGTACTGAGGTGATAAGTAGAAACAATTATTTTTTAAAGCAGTGTAGATCGAGTTTTTGTTCTCCTATTTCCCTGTCACCTTCTCTGATTAAAACTGTTTAAGTAAAAAACTTCTAGTAAGAACTCTACGTATCTTACCTGTACTTACAGGTAACTGATTGTTTATAAATAAATCTGTTGATTAAATTCTGTACAACATCTGATGAGACAGAGATGGGTCTTTGAATGAGGCTGCTTATGGTACCTCTACAAATTTCAATATTTATCACCCTGTTTTTAGGTTATGTTGTTAAATTTTTAGAATTAATGGATGGACGGAGAGAAAGGTGTCTCTTTCTAATTTTACATTTCGATCAACTAATAACTGTAAGAAATACCCAGTGGTGCTGTTGCACTGAGTGCAGTTGGGTTAGTTATAAAACCATAGCTCTTTAACATTATATACCTGGAATGTACTCTTACATATAAATACTTCCTTAATTGTTGACTTTTACCCTTTTGGTGAAAGGCAGAATGGCTTTTTGATTGGTGTGTGACGCTAGAAGAAACGTGAAACCAATTTATGTCAGTTCTTGTTAAAGGCCACTCTAGTTAAAGGGATTCTTATTGTTGAGAAGAGAAGATGTCTGGTTTCCATTAGTATAGAAATATCTTTAGAAACTAAATCATGAAATGCAATATTTTCTGTGAATAAAATGTGTAAACAACAACAACAATGAAATTATTTGTTACATTTTAAAATTGCTTAAAGCATGACTATAAAAATATTTTTATCCATATACCATAGCTGCTTTTGCTAACATTTTTCTGAGACATTTTCTAAAATTTAAAGAGGTCTTCATACATTTTTTATTTGGAACCAATTATTTAAACTTGATGCAGACACATATAACACTACAATAGCAAGTAGTCTTATTATTACTTTTGTCCATTCATAGGTAATGACATTTATTGAAACTCAAAGCATGCATATCTGTCATTGTTTGGCGTGTAGATGACTTTATTATAATTATCTTCAGTCCAAACATTTAGTGAAGGTGTAAAATGTTAAATCTTGAGCATTTCCTCATTGGCTACCCAATTTCGATTTTAAAAGCTCTACCATGCTCCATGATACAAGCATGTTTTGTACATATCTATGATTGTGATCTGATGTGTGACTTGTTTGTTTTGTTCTTTGTTTGTTTTGATTGTGGTAAAGGTTTGTTTTTATGATGCAAAGGCTAAGGTCATTGTTCAAGGTCATATGGGAGGCAAACAGTCTTGGTGTGCATGATGTTTGTAGAGTAGGAGTGCAATGACGTATAGGGTTGAAGTAATTGATACTATCATAATTGACATCTTACCATAGTCTACTGTCATGTTCATAGTGGATACATCATCCGACATGAATTGTTAGTAATCCAAACTATATGACTCAACAGATGTCAATAAAGCTTACGGATATTAAAAATAAAAATTTAGACGTCACTGTCGATGTCATTGAAGATGAAGTGATTAGCATAAAAAATGGAAAATTGGAAAATGAAGTTAACTTTGATTTTGCATCCCTGCTGAAATTTTTTATTTTCTGTATCTTCCTCTGTCACATATGTTTTGTTGCTCTATAAATGAAGGGTAGGTTGGCACTGAGGCGATGGTAAAACAGTCCAGGTTTTTACTTTTTATCCCAAAATTTCATTAAAATGTTTTGTTTTCAAACTGACACATGTATGTGAAAATGAAAGGTAGAAATCATTGTTGAAGCTCTGGTTTTATTTTGTGCAAGACTTGTTTAGAATTTATAATAAAAGGTGAATTTTTGAGGAAAATATTAGCTTTGAAAAACCTGTATGATTTGCTAGTTGTGATCAGGCAATTGTATGAACAATTAAGCTATGAGTCTTGAGCAAAATGATAGGTTGCAACAATATGTAACTCGTGATTTTAACATTTGATTTTATAAGATAGAATTTAAGATATAAGTGCATGATTCAGTGCACTTGGAACACTCATTTTATTTTATTATTTTTGTACTGGAGGAAGTTGGCATAGAACTGGTTCTAGCACTTTCTTAATTAATTGTGGACAAACCAGTACCTTGAATTGACCTTTACTTTGTGAAAAATGTTCCAAAAATAGTCTAATTCTGGAAACACATGCTGTTCTGTTTAAAAGAAATAGTGTTTAAGTAACAGATTGATTCTTTATAAATTTTTGTATTCCATTCATTATTTTACTATTTATCATTATTATAAATTGATATTGATATCTGAAATAATTCATACATTAAAATGTTTTGTGCTATTAACAAATACCAGTACAGTGTTTTAAAAGAATGTACATGTACAGTACATGCTGTAGAAATAGCAAGCAGAATCTGTAGGATTCAGAATGTCACATAACACTACCTGAACCGTGACTTAAAGTGGGTTTTTGGCTGTGTTCCAGTAACGAGGGCACCATTTACAAGAAAGGCCCCCGCAAGGAGAGGATACTTCTGGCAGTGAGCATGGCACTCTTAGTCGGTTGTATTGTCGTTCTCGTCCTTTTATTGACTGGTGTGGTGAACCCAGCACCTTTAGGTAAGATTTTATTTTTAAGATAATGTGCATGAATGTGTGTATGTGAATACTCGAATGATTTTTCCAGATTAACTAAGAATTTTGTGATGTTAAGATTGGTACATGGTGTGTTCCTACTAGTGTATAATTTTATGATGGAGAACTATTGAATGTGGTCTAAACAGTTGGTGCACATGTACCTTTGTACTGTAGGTTATTAAAAAATATATAATTTGATTAAGACAAAGGGTTTATTTTTCATTTACTCCTTTGTGAAAATCAGTTTTGTGTTCTTATTTTGTGTTTTATAGGACAGTCATCACCTGCCACAGAGAAAGATGTCTGTCTGGATCCTGAGTGTGTACGAACAGGTGACTGACCTCTCTCTCTCTCTCCTTCTCTCTCTCTCTCACACACACACACACACACATGCAAACTGTCTCTCCCTCTCTCTGAAATACTATCAACATTTCTCTGCAAGTATGTATGGTGTAATGGTAAAGATATTGCATTTCACAAGTGTCTCAGCAGACCTATGTGTAACCTATGTATTAGTATTTGCATTCTGGGGGAAGTGATGCACTAATTGACAAAGATTATATTCTTATCAAATAGCTTAGAAATCTGTATTTATTCTTGTAGAGAAAAGGAATGGATAAGGATATACTTACATGTATTATACACTGTAAGTAATAAACAGTGGAAACTTCCGTTAAATGCTTAATATTTGAGCATTTATTTATTGTTTTAGTTGGGTTCATTGTTCTCTGCGCCCTTTCGTATAAAGCACTGACTTTTTTCTTCTTACCAGCCATTAAGCTTTTTCTCTGGATCTACCAATATGCGCCTTAATTTAAAAAAGAGTAACACCCATTTAACTTATTTTGAGAATTAATTGTAGAAAGCATTCTTGGCATTTTGACACAAAAAAGTAAATTCTTTGCATGATTGACATTTACACATTTTTGGTGAAACCTACAGAAACAGTACTCCCAGAAAAAAGGTATTTTCAAAAACGTAGGTTGTGGTATTTTAACTCACAATCCGCAGTCAGTCCACTTACTTTGCAGGAGTTTGATAGAAATTTCCTCTGGCACTTAACCTTTCAAAGTAGTTAAGGTGAAATCTGAACACTTCAATCAGTTCTTTTCTTTTTAAACCTCCCCCATTAGAGAACCCTTGGATTTGAGTTTTAAAATCGTAAACTCCCCTCATCTGCCCCTGTTAAAAATTGTATATGAAATATTTTGATAGCATCGATCACCAGGGAAAGCTCACATAATTATATAAAGGGTTCCAGTGATTAAAAAGTATAAAGAAACATTGACAAAGTCCAGAATTGCAACAAGGGGTTGGGACAGATTTTCCACCATATCAAAAGATTGCACTGCACCAAAGGTGTCATCATAATTGCCCAGTTGATTATTTACATTGATTCAGTCATTAAAATTACTTCCAGCTGCAAATCTATTAAATGGGATGGACCAGACCATAGACCCCTGTGACGATTTCTTTGAATATGCCTGTGGGGCCTGGAACAGGAAAAACATCATTCCCGAAGATAAGTCAAGTTATAACACCTTCGGCAAGCTGCGGGATGAGCTGCAGGTGTTATTAAAAGGTATGTACGCATCAGGTGTGCTACAGAAGCTGGGAGGTTATTGCAATACTTTAGAAGTTCAAAGGCAGGGCAGGAGTGCTGGGGCGTATCCAGAGATATTTTCTGGCAGTTTTCCATGTTATCTTTGTTGGTCCATCCTACATTTTTGACCATCTTCCGACCGAAAAAATTAGATTGCCTGTCAATGAAAACTTGAAATATTCTGACCGTCTTCTGGAAAACAAAGAAGACGGCCTCCGTCCACCCCTGGGAGTGTGTTACTGTCCATGACCTCCAGTTCCAGGTAATAGACAGTTACAGCAAGCATAGTCGGGTGGAGATATGAGTAGGTTACTGGCCTGATACTTAAGGTGATTGTCAGTTCCTAAGGCTGTAGGTGGATGGAGGTATGATTAGATTACTGCCCTGATACTTAAGGTGATTGACAGTTACTGAGGCAGGTACGCGGAGTGGAAGTGTTTTAGTATCATTGCCTTGAAGTTCAAGGTGATGGAGTATAAAAACTGAGTGTGTGAAGGGTGTAGATAAAAGTCATTGTTGGTACCCCGATAATTATGATGATAAATATTAAGGGAGGGCAAAGAGTGGGTAAATTAAAGGGCATTAATAAAATTTATGTATTTTGTTTATTAATTTTAAATCAAATTATATTATGATGATAATAAAATAATTATTAATTAATATGATCATTTTCTTATTTATTAACTAATTATTGATTAATTGTTTTGATGGTAGTTTATGTTTTAGTAGGTGGATACTTGTGCTGTCATAAAAGGAAGTTTACTGATAAATGCACTGTTAAGTACATAAAAATATAACTGCTACATGCAAAAAATAGTACATTGAGGTATTTGATTGGAGTTTTTCATACTTATTTTTAGCACTATTAGAGAAACCAGATATGCCAAACCAGCCAAACTCTGTGACAAAAACAAGAAATCTTTACAGATCTTGTATGAATGAATGTGAGTACCATATATATATATATATATATATACGGGCCTTTACACATAATTGATGTAGTGAGGACACTTTTACTTTGTGAACAATGGAAAATCACAACTACCACAATGAGCACATCACAGCACAATCACTTTGAACATTTAGAAAGCTATGTAATGCATTCTATTAATATATGGCTTATAAGCAGCTTTTCAAATTGTATTATCTGTTATATGATCATGCTATAATTTATTTAATAGATAATAATAGACAATTGTTGCATTATTTTTATAACAGCTTTGATAGAGCTCAGAGGAGCCAAGCCAGTTTTTGACTTCCTGGAAACACTTGGTGGCTGGCCTGTCTTGTCGTCAAATTGGTCGGAGAGTAGTTTTGATTGGATAGAGCTGGTGGCCAAACTGAGGCTTTACAACAATAAGCTCCTCATTGATGAGTGGGTGAGCTCTGACGACAAGAATTCGAGTGTGAATATCATTCAGGTATGTTATTATCAACCATTCTTCTAAACGCTCATCGTCATTATCATTGTCATCATCAAACAAAGCCCACTTTGATCAGAGACGCTCTATTTTATTTTCATGGGGTGAAGCCAGCAGTTTTGATGTATAGGCAGGGTGTGGTGGGGGTCCTTTTTTTTTTTTTTTTTTTTGAAAATCTAGAAATTTTTATTACCTCAATTGACACAATTGCCATAGAATCTACATAGATCAGATATTGGTTCAGAGTGGATATTTGATTGGGCCAGCCAAAGTTTCTTTCAAATCTTTTCATTGCTGGTTCCTTTACATAACCAGTCATAAAGTTGAGTAACATCAAGAGACCTTAATAATGCTTACACATTATATTATATTATATTATATTATATTATATTATATTATATTATATTATATTATATTATATTATATTATATTATATTATATTATATTATATTATATTATTCAGTTAGATCAGGTAGATCTGGGCATGCCTAGTCGAGATTACTTCCTGAAGGGGCGTGACGAGAAGGTGGAGGCGTACGAGAACTTTGCTGTGTCCTTGGCGATACTGATGGGAGCCAATGAGACGGTGGCGAGAGAAGAGATGAGAGAGATGGTGGAGTTTGAGACAAAGTTGGCCAATGTAAGTATGATGATGATGATGGCAGTATTTATAATTATAATAGTACTAACAATGATGATATAATCTTAAAAAGTAAGTCATTTCTGAGAGACTTCTGTTGTTTTTAACATTACTGCATAAAAGATAATGGTGAGCTCTGACGATGATTAAACCTATTCACTAAATGATGGTGATGATGATTTACAACACTGAGAACAAAAACAACAGAAAAAAATACTTTTCTTTAATTTTACGTGTGAATAATTTAGAGAAAAATGGGGATCTGTTTAAGTTTTGAAAGAAAATTAATATTATGAAATTAAATGTAATGAATATGTATCACATGGTTAAAAGGGGTTCTGTGAATTTAAGAAATAATGCAAAATGACTTTATTGTATTTTTTCTGTTTCTTTCAGAGTACAACTCCCCCGGAAGACAGACGTGACAATGAGAAATTGTACAACAGATATACTATTAGGGAGTTGTATACAAATATTACTGACAAGGTAAAATTTTACATTATATAATAGATTTACAAGTAGAGAGCTATACCCTGCCATTGGCAGAAATGGAAGAATTACTTGGTTTATATTCTTGTTTTTGCAAGTTATACTATTGTCATTTCAGATTGATTGGCTGAAGTTTCTGAATATCCTGTTTCAAAGCGTCAATATCACGCTGACAATGGATGAGGAGCTGGTGGTCTACGCGCCGGAGTATTTTGGCAAACTTGTTGACGTTTTACATGAGACTTCCAACAGGTGAGAGTGCATGGTCTCTCCAGCAATATAAAGGAGATTATTTTCAAAAAGGGGTTCATTTACGTACTCTTTTTTTTCCATATATTCATTTTTTTGTTCACCAACTAGTAATTGGTCTCTGAAAAGTTCTTTTATAACATTCTGGTGCATGTTTCAACAAAATGATTCTGAGAAAATAAGGTATCACAAAGTCAGTGTTTTCTTTCATTATTTTCAGAACCATTGCCAATTACCTTGTGTGGCGCATAATGATGAACAGAGTTGGCAATTTGCCAAAGAGATTCCAGAGCTTGAATCAAGCTTACAGCAAGGTAATTACACAGAAATCTCCGTGAAACACAAAATTTTTTATGAATATTCCTGTAATTATTTCCTAATACCCAGCAGATGATTTTGGAATTGAAAGAAGCCATTTTAATGTGTTTTAAATTTTTTATAATTTACAATTTTTACCCAAAAGATGGCAGCACTGCATGTGCAGGGAGTTTTTATGCCGTGCTTTAAGGCATGCACTGTTAATATCTTTCATACCTGATCTCATCATGTCAGAATTTACAAAATCCATCCCTTTTAAATCTTCATTACATGGGGCACTTCATTACAGGGGTGGATCCAGAGATATTTTCTGACAGTCTTCCAAATTATCTTAGCTGATCCATCTTCAATTTTTGACAGTCTTCCGTCAAAAAAATTATGTACCCATCAATGTAAACTTGAAAATCTGACCATCTTCCAGAAGATCCAGAAGATGGCCTCAATCTGCCCCTGTTATTATCATTTTCATTATTATTATTATTATTATTATTATTATTATTATTATTATTATTAAGAATAATAGTTATCGCTTTGTCTGTCTTTGTCACCTCAGGTCCTGTATGGAACAGATACTGACCAGGCTCGCTGGAGGAAATGTGTTAGTTACGCCACAGACAACATGGGTATGGCGGTGGGCAGGCTGTTTGTGGAGGAACACTTTAACAGTGAATCTAAAGAGAGCGTAAGCAAACGTATTATAAAGCATTGTTTGTGGAGGAACACTTCAACAGTGAATCTTAAGAGAGCATAAGCAAACAAATTATAAAACATTGTTTGTGTAGAGGAACACTTAAATGAATCTAGCATGTACAGTTGGTTTTTTAGTGCTGTCATCTGTTTCATCTCAGTATGTTTTTTTTTTTCAAAAATACATGGTATTATTTCATTATTCAGGCATTAGCCATGATAGCCAACATCCGGGATGCGTTCAATGAGCTCCTCATGGAAAATGATTGGATGGACACTGAAACCAGAAAAGTGGCCAGGGAGAAGGTGATTCAGGAATATCTTCTGTTTTCTGGAAATTCATTTTCTTTTCTTGAGAAAATCTCTCTCTGTCTCTCTCTCTCTCTCTCTCTCTCTCTCTCTCTCTCACACGCATACACACACAAACAGTTTGCAGCATGTAAATTTGGAATTTATCAGCAACCATTTTGGTTTTAAAACTTATAATTGTAGGGTATTTAAAGGATTTGGAATTTGAAAGAAACAATTTTGTTTTAAAATTTACAATTTTAGGCAGCAGCCATGGAAGAAAAGATTGGTTTTCCAGCATATATTTTAAACAACACAGCACTGGATGATGAGTATACAACTGTAAGTTTTCTTGAGAATCCATAATTTTGTTCACAAATTCAAAGGACTTATTTTATGTATTCCATTAAAAAATTCAAAGTATAATTAACATGCCTATATTATAATTTTTATTAATAAATTTTCATCAAAATAATCCAAATTATGATAAAATATATTATGTTTCAACCGCAGATTGAGTACCAAGCTGATAAGTATTTTGAGAACGTCCTGGCCAACATCCGCCATATTGCTCACCAAAACTTCAAGAAATTGCGGGAGCCGGTGGACAAGTCTAGCTGGTCCACATACCCACCAGTGGTCAATGCTTTCTACAGCGCCACCAAGAATCAAATTAGTAAGTATTTCCCCTTGTAAGCTGATATGACTGACCTGTGCTACTCTCAGGTCAATTGAATGTTCAACCATGGAAACAGCTGGGATGGAAAGAGAGAGTGTTTAATTTAACCCCTCATGATTAGTGCTTTCTACAGTGCCACCAAGTAGTAATTTGATATGTCTTGATTCTTTACCTGATGTCACTGCCTTGCGTTATTCTTAAGAGAATATAGATCTGTGGTGAGGGGTGCCTGGGATGGGATGGGGGGGGGGGGACATTAAGCCTGTATGGAATGACGTTTTCTAACTCAATATTTTTTGTCTTCTTTCAGTGTTTCCCGCAGGAATCCTTCAGCCTCCATTTTACAGCAAAACATTTCCCAAGTACGTAAGTCAACACATGATAGTGTGAATTATTTCACAGGTCAGAAGGCACCAAAATTTGTTAATTAATGTTTTCAAAAATTGGCAGTCTACATTGTACAGGTATTATATTGTTAAGTATGTACCGTTATATCTGAATTGCTGAATTTTTTTTAAAAAGAAAATGTGAAAGTGGTTGAAGTTTAAAATGGCTCTTAAAAAAGGATATAACTTATTTTGTTTGAAAAAATGTCAAGAATGTTTATTATTATTATTATTATTATTATTATTATTATTATTATTATTATTTACAGATCACTCAATTATGGTGGTATTGGGATGGTGATTGGTCATGAAATTACACATGGATTTGATGATAGGGGTGGGTTTTATGGCACTTTAAATATATACCTTTTGCATATATAGCCATTGGAAAAAAGATTGTTCCATTCCTGTGGAATTTCAGACTCAGTTGATAATTTTAATTGCTGTCTGTACATCTGTAAGCTTTGCTGTCTATTTTGCTAATCTTCCAGGTCTTAAGGTCTGAATTGGGAGAGAGAAGTAGCTTTGCAGGATATGTAAACATAGAAAATTGGGACATTTTCTGAAGAAGACAGTACGTCTTTAAGGTTTGCATTTGTTTACTGTACGTCTGCCATGTTTGCTGTCTGTTTAATTGCTACGGTATCTTCCAGGCCGTCAGTTTGACAAGGATGGTAACCTGGTGCAGTGGTGGGATCAGACAGTGGTGGACAACTTCAAGAAGAAAACTTTGTGCATTATACAGCAATATGGCAACTATACTGTGAAGGAAGTTAATATGAATGTGAGGGTTTCTCTTTTTTCATCATTTTTAAAGAATCATTTAATTCTTTTTTGTTTGACCTTTGAATGCCAGAAAAAAAGAAAAAAATTTTTTCATTATAAATGTGGACAAATATATTTGACATTATATTATTTCTTAATGGAAGAAATATTGGGTACTGGTAACGATTTATAGAGGCCCTGGGTAATAATTTTTAATGTGGCTCTGAACACTGTAATAACAGACGTTTCAAATATGTGGGAAATTTTATGCAAAAAAAGTTGAGTTTAACAAAGATTTGATCCAGCTTTCCTCTGTTTCAGTTGAATGGGATCCAGACCCAAGGAGAAAATATAGCTGACAACGGGGGCTTGAAACAGGCTTTTAGGGTAAGAAAAATTCAATATTTTGGATTGTTAGAATTTCAATTTAGTTGCTGTAAATTTAAGTCATGATTGAATTGTACACATTTTGTAACGAAATAAGTTGAATTGATATTGTTTAAAATATTGATGTACTGTTAAAGAAAACGAGATTTAAACAAAATAAGAGTTTTCAAATGTTCCTGATTCTTAGAAAAGTCCAACATATTCAATTTGATACATGACTGAAACATTTTTCTCGAATTTTTCTTAAAATCTTACATAAACTGAAGATCTTTTCCTGAATTTTCCAGGCGTACAGGAAGTGGGTAGCAAAGCAAGGAAAAGAGGAGAGCAAACTACCTGGGATAAGCCTTAACCACAACCAACTTTTCTTCCTCAATTTTGCTCAGGTAATGACAAATAAACATAATGGTCTAATGAGAAATTTTGTGTGAGAAATTAGCAATCATCCATGTACTGTATGCCTAAAACTAGTATCATCTATATTCCTTGTTATTACAATGAATTAAAAAGGGAGTCCATGTTTTCCCCGAAGACTTGCCAAAATCAGCTGTGGCTAGCATTTCTCAGTATCAATTTTATACTAAATTCTTGGATATGTACTATATGTTTGCATATGTGATCTCTTGCTTTCAAGCACATGATTAAAATATCAGTACAATAGAAATTTGAGGAGAAAATTCAATGGATAATTATGGAATATGGCTTACATGCTTTGACAATTGCAAGGGTGTTTTTATTTTATTTTATTTTATTTTATTTTATTTTATTTTTCTGTAATTGAGTTAGTATAATAATAATCAAAAATTGAAATCAAGACAGTATGATTTATTGATTTGTTAATAGTTTAAATGAAATTGATGATCAGATGTTTGGATTAACAAGTAGTATGCAATGATTTTCAAAAATTTTGAAGCAAGAGAATAGATAGAAAACCATTCAACACACTTGCAGCAAGTATGTTTATATCAAACATGAATGTAGGTGATTTTTGTGATTTGAATGTGCTAATTGTAAAGGATCAATTGTTAGATTTGAAGAATTATCAATAGCGATGATTTGGCTTGCTAGTTACCTATATTTGATTCAGATGTGGTGCGGGACAGATCGACATCAAAGACTTTTCCAAAAAGTATTGGCAGGAGCACACAGTATAAACAGATTTAGGTAACTAAAAGATTGTCTTGGTGGCAGAGCCATCTGTTGTCTGGGTTTGCATTGAAATGCATATTGGCCTGTTATTTTGCTGAATCTTTGATTAGGCAGATTTTGGCCCCTTTGCCATGGGCACCATGTCTGTCTATGCGGATTAACCCAACTCTGCAGGGACACTCGCTGACTGCAATCAGCTTAACTGAATGACATGCCTCCTCCTGGTATTGAGTAGAAAGCTGGTGATTGTATGAGTATGCTGGAAACAAGTGGAGGCTTGTCATTCAGTTAAGTCCCTGCAGTCCCTGGGTTGATTCAAGCCTGGGTCACACTGCGCTTGCAACCTTTTGGCAACCTCTTGGCAACCTCAGTCGCAAGGAGGTTGCCATAGGTTTTAAAGTGGTCGCATAAGGTTGGTAACAGGTCGCCTGCGATCGTTGACACATGAAGGCCGTTTTTTGTGCACCGACAACCAGTGCGACTAAAGATGAAAATTATCGGTATCCTAAAGGTTGCCTATCGGCCTTTTCTTGGTTTTCAGTAGGTTGCAATAACCAGTATAATACCATTTGCAACTGCACGGTCGATTGACAGTAATAAGGCGACTGGTCGCTTACAAGTTTTTTACCAGTCGCAAGTAGTCGGCAGCAGGTCGCTAGAAGGTTGCAGTTGTAACTGCATGGTCGATTGACGGTCTTTAGTCTTTTGGTCGCTTACAGGTTTTTTACCGATCGCAGGCGTTCGAAAATATGTCGCAGGAAGGTTGCAAGCGACTGCAATAAAATAGGCGTAGGATGGTGGTCTATTTGGGCAAAGACTTTTTTGATAATTTGTTATGTAAACCTTCTTAATATCAAGGTCATGAATTATAATATTTTAGAAAAAGAAAACATAAAATGCATTTGTTGGCAATATTTAATATCAATTGCCAAGGCTTTCACACACCAGGTATTTCACACTTGTACGAAATAAAAAAAAAGTGATGCTAAAAGCAATGTACGATTTTTGACGCTACGTTTATTTATTTTATCATTTTGGGAAAATCATAGGTAAAATGCCGAAAACCTCAATTATATATCGCTGTATGTTATTTAAAATTTGCGAAGCCATATTATCAGAGTAAACAATGAAACAAATACACGAATGCAGAGAAAATGGAAAATAAAAACAATTTAATTAGCAAGGTATAACTGCTATTTAATATCATAATTTTAAGATTATCCACAAATAATTGAACAAAGCGTAAAATGTGACCAATAGACTTTAATAAAAATAGTTTCAACACAAACAATTTAACATCTTCCCACTACAAGGATGAGAGTGTAAAAAGTACACGATGCACATGACTTGTCATGATTTAATTATGTTGTATTGTAAGTGGCAAACGCCTAGGGTTAAAAAGACAAAGGGAAAAACACACATTCGGTTGCAAATCAGTTGCAAAGCAGTCGGCGACCTGTTAGCAACTGGTTGGATACCACAAGTAGGTTTTTCGGTCGCCAGGAGGTTATCGGTGCTGCACCGTAAACCGGCGCGACTGGTTATTAAACCAGCGTTCTTTTGGAAACCACTTTGCGAGTTGTTGCAACCGGTTGCCAACCCTTTTGCAACCAGTGACAGTTGCAAGTCGCAAAGAGGACTTTTGTTCAGTGTGACCGTAACTGAAGACCTCAAAGAGACCAAGTGTTTGACCAAGAAAATATTAAAGAGTATTATGAGATTAATAAGGATTTAAACGTTTGCAAATTTATGTTTTTATTTTCGAGTTTTTTTACTCTTTTTACTTTTTAGGTAAGCAAAGTCAATTATTATACATTAGTAGTCCCCTCTTTTTGAAAAGGAGTCCTTTAACTAGAGCATTTTTTTTTTTTTTTTTGTATTTTGAGAGGGGAATTTATGGGAAAGCAGCTACTGTCACAAGTATATTCATGTATATTCTGTGCGATCTTGCTGCTACCAGTTGGCAAACGATTGCTGCAGTCCTGCAACCGGTTTTCGGTCACCAGGTGGTTGCAGACAGGTTGTTTATCGCTCGGCAAACAGTTTGCGACTGGTAACCTATAACTTGAAGATGGTCATAAGAGGTTGCAGATACCATATGGCAACTTTGTTGCAACCGGTTTGCGACTGCTTGCCGATCAAAATTGACCATAGCTTCTTAATTAGCTTGCAAAGTGATCGCAAGCGACCGCCAGATTTTGTGGTTGCAAAAAGGTTGCAAAAAGGTCGCAAGTGCAGTGTGACCGGGCCTTCAAGTAGACCAATGGTGACTATGGGAATGGGGTCTTAGTTTTACTGGAACTGCTTGTGCATTGCTGAATGTTAATGATATATATGCTTTCTTAGCAAATTGCATTATTTTGCTTTTTAGTCATTTTTATTATTTCTTATTTAGAATCACATTTATTAATAATCCATATTGTCATTTGTATAGCAACCAGCTTTGTGTTATCCTTTTTTTTCCTCCAGTGCTGAAATGTGTTTTAACTGTTACAGTGTGTTGTTAGCATTACTTGTGGGTTAATTTCATATTAACATTGCATTTTCTTAGCATGATGAGTAGTTTAAATTTTGTCACAGAGAATGATATACATATATTTTTTAAACTGAACTTGCAAGCCTGTAGCCATTAAATTCAACAGGGGAATCTTCTCCAAAAATGGAAAGTTTTCACCCTCTTAGTTGACCCAATATGAGAAATGTTTCAA